CAGGGACTGCCAGTGACCAAAGTGGAAGCAGTTTCTTTCCCCAGTTCTTAGAGGTTGGGTTCTCACCAGATGCCTCCATGAGCCTGACCACGAGCCTCCATGAGCAAGCATGGAGGAAATCAGCACAAATGCTCCTGAGTGTAAACATTTCCCCAGAGCCTCATCTTCCCAGACAATGTGGGCCTGGTCCAAACTCCGCAGTGTTTCCAGGAGAGACAAAGGCTCACTGCTGTGCTTAACCTGGCAAGATTCTACCAACTCAGCACTTGGGTCACCTTCAACTTTACCCTCCCCCACATTCACTGTGTCTGAGTCCTACACCTTCTGACCAAAGAGCTCTCCCATCCTGCCCCTTTGTTCCTTTTCCAAGGACCATTGCCTTCATTCCAGAGCACATCATCTCTTCCTGGTGTCCCCATTCCTTCTCCTTGCCATCAAGTCAATAACGTATCTGTTCAGGATCAAGTATAAGCAATCCAGTCAAACAAGACCATCCATAAACCGGGGCCAACTCCAATTCATCCTCTCTCTTGTTTTTCCTACCAGGCATCCAGCATATAAGTCCACAAACTGGTGTGTGATACCTCAGGGCCTTTGCACACACAGTTCCCACTGCTTGGAATACACTTCCTCTAACACTGTTGCTATGTGGGCCTCTAATGTGGGGTAACAATCATTTGCTTCTCCGTCTATTCCACTGGGCTAGTGATCTCAACCTGAAGCTGCCTTTTAGGTGTATTTAGGGACATTTGGGTCATATTTAGAGATATTTGGTTGTCACAACCTGTGTGTATGCTACTGGTGTCTAGTGAGTAGAGGCCAGGGATGCTGCTAAACATCCAACAACGCACAGCACAGTCTCCCCAATAATTATGTATCCCCAAGTGTTTAATCATGCTGCAGTTAAGAAGCGCTGGAATATGATACTTGTTTCTCAAGGCATTTTTAACAGTCTTTCTATCTCCAATGCTTGGATTAAAGAGATACCCAACGAGCACTTATTATTTTTAATAAATAAATGATCAAACTGATTTAATGGCTATATATTCTCTGTCTGTAGCATTAAGGTAGTGACTAACGAGTGAGCAAGCTCATCAAGAAAAATGGAATAAAATGTGCACATGAATCACATGCTTTGCTCTCCACGCAGAAAAGGAGCAATGTTACCATTAGAGTGGAGGTCAAGTTTGGGGTGGACGCACGTTGCCCCTGTAACACGTTTTTTTTTTTTTTTTTTGGTACTGGGGATCAAACTCAGGCCCTTGCGTTTGTGAAGCAGGCACTGGAACCACTGAGCTAAATCTCCAACCCCATAACAGTTCTTTTTAAATTAGGAACGTTGATGAAGTATCAGGGAAATTCCTCCCATACACTGGCGCGGCAGGAATCGAACTGTAAGGTCCTGCCCTACCTCCTACTCGGGATGTGGCTAAACTGGAGGCCCTAAGGGAGAATTCATGAAAATGATTAATCTTTGGACATCCAGGTCTGATGGAGAAGAGCAAAGGAACTGATATTATTTAACTTTGAGAAGGCGATGGTTGAAGTACCTGTTTTCCAGTAAGCAGGAAGTTGACAGGTGGAGGGGGCTAACTGGCCACTTTTTGGCACCCAAGAGAAACAGATGAGGAAGCAGGAGGTTAAATTGCTTCTGCACAAAGCCAGTGTGTGCTGGGCGAGGCGGTTCCCGGAGGACCCTGCTTGCCGCTGCTCCAGGTCCTGTCTCTACCGGCTGAGCGCGCCCGGCAGGTTTCAGGCCTTGCCTTTGAGCGGGAAAGGCAGGAAAGACCGCGGAGGAGCCGGGGAGGAGGGCCGGAGCGTGAGGTGGGGGCGGGAGAGAAGAGAAAGGAAAGCCGGGGCGAAGAGGCCGCTGGAAGGCCGGGAGGCATCTGGAGAACAGACCGGGGCTATATTTAGGCTGCCATGACTTGCAATAATTTGTGTGAGGGGAAAGAGGAAAATGTGAAGTTGGCGTCGTTTTGGGGCAGGAATGAATTATAAGAAAGGAACGGCTTGAAGGGGTGGGCTGCGTAGGAGCCCCCGCCTCCGCCCCCGCCCCTGGCTGTCTGGAAGGGGCCCGAGCGCCGCGGACCGCGCAGAGGACTGGTGGTGTTTACCGAGCCTGATCCTGCGCACGCCCCTTCCCCAGACGGCCCGCGCTCCCCACCAAGAATGTGGGGCGCATTCCTGGGCACGGCCGGTCTCCCGCAGCACCCAGGCGCTTCCGGGCTGATTCAGGGCTCGTTGCTGCAGAGGTGAGGGCCGAGGCGGGAGCTCCATCCCCGGGCCCGGGGCTTACGTGAGCAGCACTCTGTAAATTCTAGGAATGTGTATACATTGCCGAGGCCTCTCTCCAGCTGGATTATAAATAGAGGATTAGTTCAAAGGCAGGCAGCCTTTTAAAGAGATGGTGCCAAGCGCAGCCTGCAAACCAAATACAGTAAAACCTCTTTAACCCCCTGTGGGTTTATTCCAAGGAGCATAGAAGTCAAAGCCTTGGCATTTCCTGGGCTGCCTCGGTGCCCGCACGTCCTTTAGGAAGTAGTTTAGAGCCTTCACACAGAGCCATGGTGAAACCTCAGTTACTAAGAGTAATACAAGTCGTGCCAGATGGTGGAGTTTTCCAGCTAGTTTAAGGTTTGTCCTTCTAAATAACGTACTTAAAAAATTTAATGATTTGGGATGGAAGTCTTTTTTTTTAGTCACATACCAGGTTTTAAAATAAAATATACAGACTGATTATGCCTTCCCTTCTCTCCCCTCCCTCCCCTCCCCTCTTCTCTAAGAGACAGGGTCTTGGTACGCTGTCCAGGCTGGCCTTAAACTTGTAGGCAGGATTCTCCCTGCATCAGCCTCCCAACCAGCTGGGAGCACAGAAATATGCCACCACACCCGGCTAGAATGCACTGATCTTCGTTTAACTTTTTTTGTGTGTGCTGCTTAGCGTCAATTTTATACACTTCAGTTGTTGCGCTGTCATTCCGTAGTGCCAGATTTTAAGAGGCGGATTACTGTGCTTTTGGGATTTCCTGGGTTCTAGTTTTCATCATTTTCTCATCTCTTGTTGCTGACTTTCCCTGTTGTCGAGAGAACATTCTGTTTTACCTGTAACAACCTCAGGGTCCATCTTCTTTTAGTTTAATTTGTGTCTTTTAGTCTGTTCTGGGTTGAGAAACCAGATAGGCAAACTAGTTAAAATTCCATATAAACAAAAGTTGAGCAGATTATGAGTGAGGAATCTAGCCTGTCCTATGGGATTCTTCCAGCCTTGCTTAGAGGGTAATAGGCCTTCCAGCCCTCTGGGGAACACAGTTGCTTTGAATTATATGCTGCTTTAAATACATCAATATGAGTCCATGTAGATAATTTTGGCTGTTTAGATATCTCTTGGCTCATCCCCAGGTTCTGGTCTGATTTTGGATAGTGAGATGTCTGAGTAGCCATGTTTTGGATAGAGGAAGCTTTACTGTAATTTGAACTTTATGTTCTCAACGCCCTTGCCTTTCAGATCTTTGAGTTTTTTCCCCTCTCTATATTTGAAGCTGGTAGTGTGATTAAATTCAGTGCAAGGGAAAAACTAAACCAAACCAAACCAAAACAACAACCCATCAGCAATTACCCTGCCGGTTGTTCACTAAGGTCTCATTTTCTTTGTCCTGGAAGCTGACAGGGATTCTGAGCAGGATGCAGAATAGTCACGTGTAGCATCAAAGAATGGGAAGATAGTGATTTGAAGATCCTGGGCCTCGAGCTGGTTCAGAGAAGCAGGTGAGAACTGGATACTTAAATGGATGAAAGCGGGCCAGCTCAACCCAGGAAGGTCCAGGAGTATTTGAGTTGTCTTTTTGGCATCTTCTGGTAGGTGGTGAAACTCTTGATGGTTAATCAGAATTGGTGTTTTATAAGGTTCTCAACCAGATGACCTCCCATCCGCAAAGATCAGACACTTTTGATGGAGAAATTAGGCCTGAAGGAGGGGAATGACTATGTTCTGCTAGCCAGGAGGCCTAGAGGACTCTCTCAGAAGCCCTGAAGCCCAGGGCAGCACCTGAGGCAGACTCAGCAGCCTGCTTCAAGGTGAAGAAGTCTCACATGCTTTCAGAGTGTTCTGAGAAGTGTTATTACAACTTTCTCCTGTAGAAAAGCACAGAGCCATGCTGACTTTGTCCTCGTACAGTGTCAGGTAAAGAGATACCAGCCCCATAACCACTATGGAAATCAGTATGGAGATTCTTCAAAAAAGGAAAACTAGAAATTCCATTGGATCCAGCTATTTCCCTTCTAGGTATCTTCCCGAAAGAGTTAAACATCATCATATTACAGGGACACTTGCATACCCATGTTTATAGCAGCACAATTTACAATAGCTAGATCTCAGAAACAGTGATGAGTGGATAAGGAAAATGTAGTATATATAGACAACCGAGCACTACTCTGTCATAAAGAGGGATAAACTCGAGGCGTTTGTATTTAAATGGATGCAACTTGAGAACTAATGTTAAGTGAAATAAGCCAGACACATAAGCTCAAATATTGCACGGTTTCCCTTATATGAGAAACTCATAGTACATATAACGTACACAAGGAACAAAATGGAAGATAGATAAATAGGAAGTGAGGTGAGGATCAGATGGCTTCCCCAAAATACCTATTCCACTGTTTCAAAATATTTTAATAATATGCTAATTTGTTTCGTGTATACTACTAATTTCTCTTAGTTCATTGAAAAGGAAGTTTTGTGCTAGTATCTGTTTGTTTCTTCTTTGTCAGAGAGGCTCTTTTTGTCTTTGTTTTGTACTCCGAGTTACTACTTTGAAGACAACGATACACAGTATATTGACTGTTGTTAGTCTCTTATTATTTTGCTATGAAATTTTGTTAAATATTTTTTTCCATAAAATTAAAAGCCCCAGACATTAGCCCCTTTGCAAAGGTGTTCACCATGGCCAGTCAGCTCCCCTGCCAAGGTCTGCAGCACGTACCTGCCTCCTTCCACGCACCTGAGCAGACGGGACCAGGACGTCCTTGACCCCAGGGTGACCCATCCATCGGCTGGCAAACGGTGACCAGTGATTGATGGGACTTGGCAGAAGAAGATAAGCTGGGTAAATCAGTCCTCTCAGGGAAATCTAGAATTGAAAACACGAAGATTGGGTCAATTGACCTTGGCCGCTGCAACTGGAAAGTCCTGGAGGGCGTGAACAGGGGGTCTCCATGTCTGTGTGGAAGCTGACAAAATCCAGTGTCCACCTGGAAGTTTCCACAGAAAAGTGGAAACTGGAAGCAAGAATTGGGGAGTGTAGAATGGAGCAAAGGCGAGAGAGAGGGAGAGAGGAGATTCAGTACAGAAAACCCCTGAGTGAGAGCTGAGTTCCCCCGTCCTGTCTGTTCCCACGAGTCCCGCTTACACTTGTGCCCTAGCTGTGCATTTCTAAGAGCCAGCTTGAGTAGGTCTCTGTTCCTTGCAACAAAGAAAACTTTGCCTAAATCTGCCGGGATTTCTGTAAAACAGTTACTCAAGGGCTAGGAACTCAGAGCTAGATTCGTCTTAACGTGTCCTCCTCTAGCCTAAGGAATTCCATTGCTTTAACTTCGCCTCAGAGGACCTGTTTTCCAAAGGCTTTAATCCTGATGTCTTCCTCTGACCCCTCCTCGTAGTCTCTAAAGCTTCCGTGCTCCATTGCTATGACCGGTGCCAGGGTTGCCCCTGGAGACGTCCAAGATTGATTTTGGTGCATGCTGTCCTCCTGGTCATCAATCCTGGGACTGCACTCTGCCTGCTGGTTTTCTAATAAGAGACCTGCCAGCTGACTGACACACAGAGACCTGCTTCGCCCACAACCTGATACTCCCTGCAGGGTTGTCACTGTCACTAAACATCAGTGTAGGAAGAGGCTGGGTGATCACCTAGCTCAACATGTCATTTTAGTGATGAGAAAACTGAGTCCCAAAGAGGTTAGACAGTTTACCCAAGGTCAGCAAAAGCCAAATAACTTGTTTTTCCCTCTCCATACTGGTGTGTGTGTGTGTGTGTGTGTGTGTGTGTGTGTGTGTGTTTATACATGTTAAGCTTTATCCCACTCATTTAAAAAGTCTTCCTCAAACCTTAGAAGGCATTTTAAATTGTGTTTATTCCAATTCAGACATATTATTTGTGATCCTTTATAACTGATAGA